CTCTGGGTTAGGGAGGATACCGTATAATCGTGTGTTGTTTAGGGGGCTTGGTCAATGGCCCCTCAACCTTCACCGGGCCTCACTTAATAACCGTTTTGGAACAGGGTTATCCTTGCGAAAGGGGACTGTGTTTCACAATGGTTTGCGACGAGGAGATGCGTCTTGCAGTGCGTTCTGATTATGCTGCCACAAACTGGGGTGCCATGATCCTAAGAGATCTCAGGTGCTAAATGCACTTCCCGGCGCTGCACCCGGACCTGGATGAAGAGGGGAAGATCAATTTCAATCGTCGAACCTGTTTAACAGATCTGTTATGGAAACGTTGGAGGAGCGATTTGATGATGACTGGCATGTCTTATTACTACACCCCGGGAATTTGTGTCGGATAACCGTAAACCAGGGGTTATATAATGTACCGGCATATCCATACCCATTGGAACGCCGAAACACACAACGTGCTACATCCCTGCGAAGTCATACTTGTCACTGCTGCGGTTTCGCTCAGGGACATGGAGGTTAGCCCAACCGGTGGTCGGTTGCGCCAAGGGCGCTGGTGTAGGGTCTGTGGCAACAATAATGCAGTAGAAGATGAGTTCCACATGTTTCTAGAGTGTCACGCTTACAACGACCTGCGGGAAGGGCTTCTCAACCCCTAGGTGTAACGCCAGGCTGATATAAAGGCCGTGCCTAATATGAGGTTTGTCATGGAGATAGATGATCAGCGTGGACTTGCGCAGACCGTACACAACACTGATAGCCGAGTAGTAAGCCTGAGGTCGCTTACCCTATTTACGGTTTTCTCTCGCAGATGGAGTTCATAAAACATTTTCCATTTCCGTTTTTATTTCTTCCTTCTTTTCGGCTACGCTAGAACTCGCGGTCCATGAGCCACCTGGCGCGTCTGGGCCTTACGAGCTCTCGCGAGCTTGTAACATAAGATTGTAACATAACATAACATGACCTCAATTTATTGACTTAATACTGGGTTATCATTGATTTACAAGTAAACAGCCCGCTACTTTTCTTTTCACCGACTTCCATCGACCCTTCCTATAGCCTGACTAAGCCAATCCGTGCTTGCACGACTTTGCTGGCGCTCATCGCCCATTGGTTCGCAGGTATAACGCAATAAA